GCTGGCTATGATGGCGAGTTTTTTATTAGGCAAAATGCTCATTTGGGTTTATCTGGCTGTTAATTATTTCCCCCCCACTAAATAAAAAAACGGTAAGAATTCGTTATTAACTACAGACTATTAATAATAGGAGGTGAAATGCAGCTACTGACTAGCCGAGCATACGGTGATGTCACGAGGACGCTTCTTCCAGTTGACCCATATCTATGCTGCGTGCTCCCGTTCTCCCCAAGTCCACATTTCACAGTATTGTTCTCAAGAACATACTTGACAAGGACACGAGTCCATACTCTTTTTTTTTTGTGATAATTATTTGAAAAAATTCCTACCAAAAGAACCTCCATGGAACAGATAAAAAAAAAACTGCAGGTTTTCACATGTACTTTTACACCTGAACACCTTTGAGGATCTGGTCAGACTAATGCATGTTTACTTGCAAAAACCACACAAACAGCTGTGTATCTGAATTCATATTATGCTCTCATTATTACTCTTAGAAGTCTCAACAATGCTTGCAAATTCTAGTTTGTCTATTTTACTTAAATTTTGGGAAAATTAAGGTAGAACGAACTTCTTTGTATTATTAGCGCCATGACAGAAAGTTATATCTGTGACCACTCACAACCCCAAATTACTTTTTTACATTTTGTACTTGAACATAATGGAGGATAATTCTTTACATTTTTTTCATAGACTCCAGCAGAGCTCAGAAGTTGGGGAACCTCTTTACAGAGATCAAATGCCGATGGGTGCCATATTTGTGGTCTGTATATGAATAGATGCTACCTTGTCCTTCTCTTCTGATTACTCATTTTTATACTGCACTATTCAGACTGAATGCATTTTGAGCATGAGTAAACCTCAACACTGCAACTTGCACACTTGCCATCCTTAGGAAGAAGCTACTCTGTTCGTTTTTGTTTTTTTTTTTGCCGATTTCTTGTGTACAATGGCTTGTACAATAGAGATTGGCTTGGCTTTATTTGCTCTTTTGAGTGGAATAAAAGTAAAAAATGCAACTCACAACATGATGAATGCAGCACTTTTATAGAATTTTGATCCTACTTTTAAATATTTTGTGTTAGGTGTTGTGAGCGGCAGACCTCTGCATAAAGTTATGTGGTAGAGGATGACATTTGACCTGACAAAGGACCTTACCAATCCCTTGGAAGGGCGGACTTTATAGATTTTGCATATTGACTGCACAGTCCATGATGCTCAAAATACGTTCACTCTGAACACACCATTATGTTAAACAGCATGATTATTGTAAGATGTATCACTGATGTTTTTTTTTTTTAGGAGCTGGAGAAAGAAATTCAGACATTTGTGAAGAAGGAGCTGAAGGGAATCTTAAAGGCTTTGAGTTCCAATAGCCAAGAGTGTCTAGAAGGTCAGAAAAAAGAGGAGGCCGTGTTTGTAAATGAAGATGAAAAGCAGAGGAGCAGCAAAGAAGCATTTTTGAAGATCACAGTGTACTTCTTGAGACGGATGAAGCAGGAAAAGCTGGCTGAGCTTCTGGAAAGCAGTAAGAGAAAAAATCTGCCACAGAAATTATAAATAAAGCAATATTTTCACACTGAATTAAAAGATGTTAAATCACCTTATGGTACTGTAGTTGGGGCCAGTTTTAAATAGACTAAAAGAATAATTGTTTGATATGTTTTTTTTGATTTAGCAGTGATAAAATATAAAATTGGATATAGTATTATATCTTACCTCATTTGTACAAAAAAAGAAACTGTGTTACGGGGGCAGCAGTCTCAGCAGAGACTCTCAGACCTTCCTCTCTCCAGACACCACCTCCAACTCTGCTTGGTGAACCTGAGAGATATGGTCCCTCCAGAATGCCCTAGGTTGTCCGCTGGACCTCCTCCTGTTGGGAGTGCAAGGAACACCTTGGGAAGCATCCTGGCGACATTGGAGAAAGATGTCTGAGCCACCTCAGGTTGCTTGTCTGGATGTGCAGGACAATTAGCTCTGCTCTGAGCCTCCCCAGGATGACCAAGTCTTTGTAGACTTCATACTGAATATGCAATGTGATGTGCCTATTTTAAACTAATACGTTTGCGTTAATTCATGAATTTAATGAGTAAAAAGATTTAAAAAACGATTTTCACCGCGTTCACTAAGTCTGGGACAAGCCATTTTTGCCCAAATATAGTAAAACCTCACTCCTGACATCTTCCGGCAGTGACGTCAGTGTTTGGTAAGCCTAGCGCCATTCTCTCTGCTTTACAAGCAAAATCAATGGGAACCACTAGACACATCTGTAATCAACAACAATTATTTAAGATTTCAAGCTATGAACAGTTTGAATTCTGAATATTACATCCATCCATCCATCCATACATCCATACATACATACATACATACATACATACATACATAC